TCAATAATAAGTGGGGCCTAGAAATCAATCGATTAATTACCGAGTAATCAATTAAAGCGATAGTCGAAGATAATTTCTGTAACCGATTAATCGGTCGAAAAGGACATTCTGCCGAGCTGTCACGGCGACTCTTCGTTATCTTTGCGAGTACAGTTATTTGTTGTGATCATCAGTAACATAGATCATTTATTTTAACTCGGACGTATATCTCGTCCGCAAAACCTCGTTATTATAATAAGCCTGCCGTTCTTATATCTCGTCCGCAAAACCTCGTTATTATAATAAGCCTGCCGTTCTTTCTATTCTCTTGAAAGACCAGTGTCGCACAACTTGTACACCCAACGGAGATCAACTTGTCTAAACGTTGCAGTAGATTTCTCTCGCTGGGGCATAAGTATTTCGTCATATTGGCCCCCCGTTTTCAACGTCGCTGTACTCCCTGCATTGTAAGGAGAATACGATCAGTAAAACATGGTGCTACCCGCACCACCTCTGCGAATTACCATGACGTCGCGCATGCATCCAGGGCTTAGTGACTCGGCATTTTGTGCCAGGGTGATAAAAAGCTGGAATGGTGTATACTCGGGGGACAGCCTTCACTCGTAAAATGCCACAGAAAACGCTGTGTACCTTGTAACCAGTCAAATAGCTGAGCACACTTATTTCCTGCCCCGCCCTCGGTCAATTGGCCTTTAAATGCATGCCAACCAACCCGATAAAAAAAAAAATAGCTTCATTAAAACGTCATGTTCCTGCATCAATGACTACACGAATCCAAACAATTCTGGTCCGCAAACGAATAACCTTATATTCATAATGGGTTATGTTATACCGTTGTACTTATAATTACGCAATACTTTAACAATCCCACCAGCCTCCACATAAGACCGATTAATCGAGCGAATAAAGGTCACCGATTAATTCATAGGAAAGTCCCATCAAAAGGTGTCTTTTTTTTACTATTTTGTAATGTATACTGATTCCGATTTCCCTTTCTATGTACCCAACACCTGTCTTTGAAGACCAAATTGTCAGTCCAAAGAACTTTTTTTGTCAGGCCCCCCACCTCAGCATTTTCCGGATTTATGATCCGGCCAGTTTCGGATGAATGCTAATTGCCTTTACCCTTTATAACGGGCGTTAGCTTGCGCCACCTAGAGTAGGAACCGAAATTTTTATTCCTCCCTTTGCCCCTCTAAGCCAATTTGCTGTTGAGAAATGAATATTTTCTTTGTTAGACAGTCCACAGCCGGTGCATAGTCAGCACCTGGTGTCTGACAGCACGTAAATCATTCTCAGAAATATCTTGACAAATACGTTTTTTTATTAGCTCACAAAGAAGCCTGCATCATATATAGATCATCAATAACACCCTTTGTAAATCCCACAATTCCTCACGGCTAGTCATAATGAACCATCTACAGAAACAAAATCCTCGTATAATCCGTACACCGTAGAGATAGTCAACACACTGTAAAATAACTTTTAGGCACGTATAGTCCCAGCGTTGGGAAGTACTTTAAGTACATTGTACTTAAAGTACTACTTCAAGTAGCCTTAGGAAACTTGTACTTTATTTGAAGTACATTCAGTGAGTATGTACTTGTACTTTACTTAAAGTTTTTTTTTTTTTTTTTTTTTTTTTTTTCTGGTACTTTCCGAGGAAAGTACAATACCCGACTTCAAAGTACATTCCCCAAATTTGGTTTTGTTAAATTTGTACCACGAAATGATGCTTTGTCAACTCCGAAGAAATACTGGGAGGGATATTCTACTCTCACCAGAAACGTGAGCAGACGACGCATCGCTCTGTTAGTTCTGGGGGCGGCTTTCCCGTAGCTTTTTAAACTCTCGCTACTTTTCGGTCGGTCAGCGCAAGCGAGGAGGTTCAAAATATTAGGAGAGCAAAATTAATCATAATGTAGCACCTGAGACTGTGGTGCGGAAAAACTAAATTTTCAAATCGAAGCAAAAAAAAAAAAAAAACAGTGGAGAACGTTACAATGTTTTTGAGACATTTTCTTTCGTCTTTTCCTTCTATGTGAAAGTTCCTTAATTTTTTCGCACCCCAATCTCAGGTGTCACATTATGATCAATTATCACCAGCTCTCTTGCACAAAGAGAGAACACTCCTCTATGAGGGGATTTCTTGCGGAAGCTACGGGGCCGACGTCATGCTCTCTCCAAGTACATGTAACCCCCTTGGGTGCAACAATCCAGTGCAAGGGGCGCCAAATTCAGAAGAGGGACCTCTGACTTTGGCTCCATTTCTGAAAATAACTACTCTGTGGCCACTTGACTTTATCAAATATTCGCCGCTGTTTTGAAAATAAATTATGCAGCCTAGTACCCCTGCGCCAGGCACGTAGTTAGGAGGGGGGGGGGCATGGGGCCCGCCCCCCCCCCCCCCCCCGTAATCTTCCGTTTTGCTGGGTCCTCCTCTCCCCCCTCCCCCTCATACAGCATTTTGTCATGGGCGGGCCTTCTCCGAAACAAAATCCTGGTTACGTGCCTGTCCTGTGCAATGCATACCAGTTAAAGAAATCACTGTATAGGGGAATGAAAGGGCATCATGAAAGATTGTGTTAAAATACTTGTACTTTACTTTGAAAGTACATTGCATTTATAGTACTTTCCTTCCAAGTACGTTGCATCCAGTGTACTTTATGCTTTACTTAAAGTACATCAAGTCTCATTTACATTTGTACTTCATTGAAGTACCCTTTAGATGTACTTCTAACTAAGCTAGGGCAGTCTCGTACTCCCTGAAATTGATACGACTGATAAACGTGGAAGATACACTCATCCGAGGGTTGTTCCTACACAAGCAAAGCGCTAAACCCGGCTTTGTTATTCTCCTGTTGATAATAATCGTTTTAAGGGTCATCGTATACTACTTTCAAGCACTTCCTTTACTCGTTGATTGCGGTTCGTTATGAATGCGCCGTAAATTCCATTTCATTCGTTGCGGGGTGGATTCTGTTTTTACACCCGAAGGCCCTGAACCGCACCATTCATGCGTAGCGTAACAAGGAATGCTCGTGCGCACAGCACGAAGGAAAAAAATAAGAAAAAAAAGAAAAAAGCGGTTTCATTCTGTTTAGACAGCGCTCCTTCTGTTTCCCGTCCACCGCGGAAGGCGAAAAGGGTTGTTGACGCTCGTCTTTCGCTGCGGAACGGCGGACACAAACTGAGTGGCGCCAACTTCTCACTAAAGCGATACTGGAAAGTTTCAGAAATCGACAGGCGAGTTGGTCAGTAGTTCTCGCCCCCCCCCCCCCCCCCCTCCTCATCATTTTTCCAATAACTAACCTAACAACATGCGGTTCTATATTAAAAAAAAAAAAAAAGGCAAAACACATTTTCTAAACAAAGTTGACAAACAAACCTCTGAACTCGCGCATGTTGAGTGTCGATGCACACGCGCTCTTAAAGGGGCCATGAAACGATTTGTGGGCTGGGATGAATGATTTTAAATTGGGACTTTAATAATCGCATATCGTTTAGTTGGCCAAAAGAAAGAGGGTAGAAAGTCAAAAGCCAGCTTTTCGGAACGAACATTCGAAAATATAGCGGACTATTTTGTACCTTGTTTCCTTCGGAAGCTCTTTGCCTTTTCACTATTATACATTCGCGGTTCCCAAAGCGCGTCAGCGGTGCCAACCTGATGTCAGCCGAGCCCAGCTCACGCATTGGACACGAGAACTGCGTCAGTCGGACGTATCCGCTCGTCAACAATCAATCCGTCGACGAATATTTGGATTCGCGTTTGTGGCCAATGAGTGCCCTGACGGAACTTATCGTCACTGGGGAATAATGACAAGTTCTATATAGTGTGCATAAAAAGCACGGTGGAAGCTAGGAGTCATCGAGCCGGTGCTGAAGAATGTCACGACGACGTGATTTCACACTTCGCATTTTAGTTGAGGATTAAAGCTAAGGAGGAAGAAGTAGGAAAATCGTTTCATGACCCCCTTAAGTTCTGAAATGTCACAAGTTGCCGTCCCCGAGTAGAAATCAAGAGTCGGTCATACGCAATCGCGAGAGATTTCTGACAAGATCTATATTGATAAAGCAGAGTTGCTCGCTTCGATATGCGTACTCCTGGCCACTGGTCATCGGTTGGAAACGACAATCTCGAAGGCGTGTGTAAAGAACGCGGCGTTCTGAAACCCAGCAAAGTTGACAGCCTTGCGCCGATGAATCGTCCTACTAAAGACGTCAGAATGAGCGTTTGACCAATCGCGCAGTTGCGACCGCAGCGACGCTCTTTCGGTAGCGCACGTTGTCACACGCACTTCTCCCCCCAGCCGTTAAAATTTTAGGAGCAGTCGAGTGCACTTTTAATTGCGTAGTGTCAACGTCAGACCCAACACACGAAGAAAAAAAAACATACAAGAAAGAAACGTCGGCACGCGCATCCTTTTTAAGAAAGACAAGGTCGACGTCACGCAGATGAACAGCCATCGCGGCGGCGGACAAAAGCAGACGATGAAAAAGAGGCGCGACGGATGCTGTCAGGAGGCAGACGAGCGGCGTCCCATCCCCGCTCCCCGTCTGCGAAGTTGGCAGCACGAACAGAATGCGGCGGCATCCCGCGCGCCTACGCTTTCGCTTTATCGCGCAGCGCGCGCCCCTCAAAGTGGAAAAGAAACTTGTGGCGTGCTCCGTCCGCGGAACACACGCCAAACGATAGAACTCCGCTCGCTCGACGTCGCGACGTGGAGAGCTTTCTTCCCAACCACCACAACAAACAGGGATCGGCATGTGTGTTTGCTCGTGCCACAGTGATCACAAGAGGAAGGGTTGATATTGTTTAAAAAAAAACAGCTGGAGGGGGGACAACCGAAGGACCGCACTACCGTTCTCATGATGTCAGCGATCATAGATAAGCTTTATAATAAGTGAGACGAATCGCATCACAATCGAAGCGAGCCAAACGGAACGGTGTCACTTTTTCAAACAGCGGCGCGCGCTAACGGAAAGCGAGTTCGGCCTACCTTTGACTTGACCGTCGAAGAGTAGCAGGAGCTCCCGTTCCCGCTTGCCGGCCAGTTTCTTGAAGTCGGCCGACATGACGACGACGCCGACGGATCAGGGCAGCCGGGGCGTCGCTACTGCGGCGACGATGTCGGGGCGGTGGCGGCGACCCAGCAGGAAATGAACCGAGGGCCGGGGCGAACTCGTCGTCGCATCCGTTTTGTCGCTCCCTCGGCGAGCCAGGAAGTTGCCGACGCTCCCTTTCTCCCCAACGCGGCCGTACTGCTCACCGATCACGTTCACCCGCGACACGACATCACAGTGATCACAGCACGCAGGGGGGCACCAACAACACAGAGTCTGAACCGAGCACGCGCTCTGAATGGCGACACAACAACCACAACACAACAGCAGCAGCGGCTGCAGAAGCAGAGACGCCGTGGCGCGTTTCCGCGCGTTCGCGCGTCCCCGAGTGAAATCGCGTCTGTCGGCGACTGAAGCGGGCGCTCGGATTAAACTCGCAATGAGGTCGTCTCGGTAGGAGCCGTCCAGTGGGGCCGGCGCGGCGCCAGCGATGCCAGCGAGAGCGCGACGCCTGAGCGTCCTGTCGTCATCAGGCGCGGCACAGTACACAGGCGGCAGCCATTGTTTCGCCAGCAGGGGCCGCCGGATGTGGATTACCCACGTGATCAGTGACGTCAGATGGTTTCCGGTTTCGTTATTAGCGACACGCGCGACACTGGCGGATGGAAGCAGCAACCGTCTGACTTCGGATAGTTTCGGTTTGTTATCATTCATTAAATTAACGTGTTAGCGGCTTTGTTAATCTGCTCATATAACTAGACTGTGTACGGTGTTATGATCAATACGAAGATACGCGTAGATTTCTAAACATGCTTTTCATCATTCGTGCAGGCCAAAGTCATGCAATGCACCCTTGCGTGCCACCCAAAATGATGCAAACAAATTCTGACTGATCATTGTGACGTGATGCGGCGCAAATAGAACATATTTGCCATTTATTTCTCGTTAATCTATGATTGTAAACTTCGTCCAACGTTGCTGTTTCTCTTTCCCCTTCCGTTCAACACGTTTGTTAGTGGGATAGTGCCAATGGCGCCAACTTGTGCCAAATTCAAAGCATTGTGGAATCGCACCGTCTCCAACTGCGCATGTATTGGTATGGCCCGAGAGTTGGCATGCTCAGCTCATCGCAGTCGACAGATAGCCAAGTTGGCCAACGCCTGAACTGAGGATTCTCGCCCGAGACAATCTTGCTGCTTCAATCAATGATCGCCTCTGCGGCAATGAGAGCGTCGCTTTGCTTTCTCTGTGCTGCACGGTAAAGCCTGGCGTTTGTAAAAGTTGAGGAGTTCGACTAGCGTGTTAACGTACTTAATAAGAATATGAAAGCTGGACACAAAGTATTGCATAACGTTTGTTACAACAACGGCGATCAATACAAATGATGACAGCCTTTTAACTCGCAAAATTTAGTTTCAGAACTATCGCGAGTTTTCGTCAATAACAATTGCACAGTCGCGAACACCCTACGAGAGCCACGGTACATGTTTCAGGCTCTGTTTATGGAACCTTAGTTATTTCCTGTATTCATAACTTTTTTCTTTTTTTTTTTTTTTTTTTTTCTTGGAGGGTGGGGAAACAGAAGAACGGGACAACACGAATCGTCAAGTCCTGTCCCGAATTGAGGGCTTGTGTCCCGCGTCCCGCAAGAGATTCTCAAATCTTCAAAATGTCCCGCATTGCACGCTGTCGTAAAATTCACAATTTATCTCATGGCGCTGCCGAACGAAGGGGCGCGGGGAAGCGTGGAGGCCTCTGGTAATTGTAGTAGATCGTTTTTCTCCTCCGCTACGGTATCCCCGAAGAAAACGTCGCAGCTGCGCATGCGCGCCGCTAGCCTTGTCTGCATAGTTCAAGGTCTTGTGGCGGATTACGGAGCGCTATCCGGGTGCTTAGCGGGCTGCGGAAACGGTCTACTACCATTCCCTAATCGTATAAATTGCGATGGTGCGCTATTTACTATCCTAGCATTGCGGGAAGCGACCGTCATTCTTGCAGGAGATCGACGCGCATCTGCTGTTGTGCCTCTCCCCCTGGTGGAAAAGCACTGAAAGGGAAAATTCCTAGCCAAATATGAAATATAAATTATTTCAATTATTTTCAAATTAAACTATGTCAATGCGAAAGGGTTGATGTGAACTATTTTTTAGTGAAGAGGTAGAGCCTGTGCCGTCGTCTTCGTGTCTTCATTGTCCTCGTTTTACATGATGGGGGGAAAACAGTTCAGAAAACACGGACTATACGAAGAGGAACAAACACGACCGGACATGTATAACGTCAACCAGTTGGCCCAGTTCTCTGTCTTTTTACTGTCCTCGTTTTGTTCGTGCTTTTGTTCTTTTAATTCAGTGTGGGCCAACTAGCCCAAACCCAAGTTTTAATAAAAACATAGGGTCCTAAATTTGAGTAAGAGTATGTTGGTAAAAGTGTATCGACAGGAAAAAAAATGAGCCAAAAAAAGGTTTACTGTTTCTTCTTTACTTTTGATGCATTGAGCTTTGTTGCAGACAATTTTGATGTTTTAAACTTAGACACATTTAATAGCTTACTTGTCATTAACATTAGTGTAAAAGTTATTTGAGCTTAACGGCAGCAATACATTGCGCAGGTGTATAATATGCTTTCAGCCACATTTATCCTTTCAGTACCTTCATACAGGACAGTCACATATAATGGACGCTTGTAAGCATAACACGAAGCACAACAGCGAAACAAACTGAATTTTTGCCAAGATGGATATCGGCTGCTCCTACCAAAGTATTCCAGAAACCAAACGTCTGATGAACCAAACCAAGCTTACCCCTCCCCGAAAAACATTCCTGGCTATGCCACTCGGCTGATGATAAAATAACGAAGTGCACCATCTTGTCTTATCAAGGACGACGATTTAATCATGCAGTATTTCGCCTCCCGTACAGCTAGGAGACGTGCCTTCATTCCTGTCACCGGTAGATGTCTCCTCCTATGGCTTCTTGAATATTGTTGCAAGCGCCTCGTCAAAGTTAATTACTTTTAGTTCTTTCTAAAAGTGAAGGCCTTGTTACAAATAGAGGAACTAAGTTTCATAACAACTGCATCTACTATGTGACCCTTTGGTTTCAGAAACAAAAACACATGGAAAATACAGGGAGTTGTGGGGCAATACATCTGTTCCATCAAAAAAAAAAAAAAAAAAAAACATAAATAAATTAATGAACGTAGCACGTGCTGTGAATTTTATCATAGCACTAAATTTTGCGAGTTTAGGTTTTTTTCGGAAAAAGTATAAAGAAAAACTTGATGTTTCCTCAGCAACGGGAGAAAAAACGAACAAGTCGTCTGGCTGACCCTGCTACTCACTTTGCTGCTGGCAGGCATGTAGCCAGGGGAGAGGCCCATGGGCCCCCCCCCCCCCCCCCCCCCCGAATCTTTCATTTTGCTGGGACCTCCCGTCCCCCTCATACAGCATTTTGTCATGCGCTGAAGCCCCCCCCCCCCCCCCCCCCCCCCCCCCCCCGAAACAAAATCCTGGCTACGTGCCTGTCTGCTCCTTTTGCAGGAGTTGCAGGGACGTCAGGAAGATGCCGATCTCTGATTGGCTGTGATTGAAGGATAGAGACCTCAAAGTAAAAAAGGTCTACCCACTATCCTTCAATCAGAGCCAATCAAAGCTCGGCGTGTTCCTGACGTCCCCGCAACTCCCGCAAAAGAAGCAGACGAACTTGCGCTCCCCATACTTTCAGTGAACGCATTCCTAAGAAGCTTCGAAGTTTGTGGTAGTACGCGGTACCATATATGTAAGGTACAACCCGACAATTCGCTTCGTTTTCTTCCCGCACATAGAAAACAAAAGAAAAAAAAATGCAAGCTTTTAATTTCTCGCATATTTTCCCAGATACTACACTCACGTAATTTTACTATGATAAATCTACCACCTAAATACGCCGTTGGGTAAAGTTTAATTTTACTGCGTTCATTGGCTTTTTATATGACTTTTTTAACGACCAAACAGCGCTCTGGAACTCGCTGTAAATCGACAATGTTTTACTTACCATGACCGAAAAAATGTAGGACCACATGATTAAAAAACAATTGCAGCTTCTAATTGTTTTTTGTTTTTTTTTTAATGTCTGGTAGAAATAGCTTTAACAAGGTTGTGGAAGATATGTCCGTTGCGATGAACCTTTCATTACGTGACTTTGGCAATGTGGTGTGCAGGACATTTTTTTTTTTTTTTTGTCATCTCTGAAGGGTGGGGAAACAGAAGGACGGGACAACACGAATCTTCCAAGTCTCGCTCGCCTACATCCTTGCATTAACTTTATGCAGGATAGTCACATATATCCCCAAGCACAACAGCAAAACTGACTAAATTTTTGGCAAAATAAAGAGCCCCCCCCCCCCCTCCTCCTCAAAAAAAAAAAAAAAAAAAAAAAAAAGTTGGCGCTCGCGGTTTGCTAAGCACAGCCAGGGAGATCACCTTTCTTCCCCTGCTTGGTCGTTTTCCTTGGACAGCCCCATAGAGCATTCGCGGGCTGGCCGTGCGGGGGAACGCGCGGCGCAGTTTTTGGTCACCCAGCCAGCCGGCTTCTTCGTTTTGCTTCCCAAAGAACACAAAAAGTTCTTCTAGCTTTTTTTTTTTTTTTTTGCAGTTGCGTTTTGTTGTTGTTTTGGCGGTCTGAGCAACAACGAGGGTCGGTCCTCGTTGCGGACATTACATTTAAAAAATCGTCAAAATATGGCAACAAAAAAAATTCTCTCACGGAGCTCTGGGGGGGGGGGGGGTTATGACCCCCCCCCTCCTCCTCCTCCTCCTCCTCCTCCTCCTCCTCCTCCTCCCCCCCCCCCCCCCCCCCCCCCCCGAGGGTGCGCCACTGAGTGAGATGCTCTTCAAATAACATTCCTAGGTTTTTTACCACTGAAACAATTTGAATGGATTCTGAGCCAAGCTTAAGGTCAAGAGTGGGAACATAAGGATATTTATATCGGGGCCTGAAGAGTGCCGCATGAGATTTGCTTGTTTTTATGGTTAACGAATTTAAAATGGTCCAGTTTTGAAGCAAGTGCAAACAATAAGAAGCTTGTTCTTCCAGGTTCGACACTTGTGCGGCACTAAAGTATAAACTGGTGTCGTCGGCGTAAAC